ATCCTCAGAGACATGCACAAGTACATGCACAAAATCAGAGGTGGGGTTGGGTGGAGAAGGGATTAGGGATGGGGAGGGTATGGAGTAGAAGGAGCAGGCAAAGGAGGATCCATGGCTGGGGAGCTCTCTCTCAAGGTGTGTCTCTGGGGTAAATTTCCCCTTATCTCTCCCCCATCCTGGGTAACTCACAGTGCTTCTAAAGCACGGGTTGTTTTTTGTTTCTGCAGATAACCCCTGCATGATGTGAGTGAAGACACAGTGCCAGTCCTTCTTACGTGTTGTACATTTTATGTGACTATAAAAATAAAAATTGATGCTCCTTACTGCTTACCGTCTACATTTCTTCCTCTCATGTCTGCTCTGAGCAGTCATAAAAAGGTTACTTGTGCTGTAGCAAGGATTTAAGATCAAGGATTTTATTAGCTTGCAGGGAGACTCTTCTTTCCTGTCTGCATTCAAACCAGATAATTTCTCTTGTGTTAGCAGCAGGATCAAGCCCTGAAAACCAATGGAAAAAACTTCCTTTGACCTAAATGGTGCAAGGCCAAGCTTTTAGGCTTCTGTTTTGTGTGTCAAAGACTAATACTGTCATGGGAAGCGTAAGCAGCAGTAGCTTTCCTGCTTAGTAACAGAAGACTGTGCTTCTAAAAATTCCTCTACAGAGTGTTTTTGCAGAGCCGCCTCCCCAGGGTTCTCCATCTGTTTTCACACGGAGATTAATAACAAACTGTTTGGCTAATAAACTGGTCCCTGCTATCTCTGAAATTTGACCGTTTCTTTCCTTCCCTCCCATGGACAGTTATTAGATTCCTGTCTGCCCCTGTGCTCTCACGTGGGAGACCACTAATGTTACAGGCACAGCAATTGTCATGCTTCAGCTCCACAGCAAGGCTTCTGAGGGGTGAAGATGTCAGTGTATGGCTGAAAGAGTTGGTGCTGTGGACAGCTGTGTAGTGCTGAGTGCTGGCCTTGTTCTTACAGGCTGTAAAGAAAAGGAAGAGAAGAAAAACAAGCTTTCACTACTGTGATTTCTACAAGAGTCCGTTTTTTGTTTGCAACTACGGAGAAAATATTCCCAGGAAAATGGGACTGGGGCAGGAACCTGTTTGATTGACCAGCATCCCTGCAGGATGTGGGGCTGATGGTGGTGTTTCAAAGTGCTGTGTTCAGAAGGTACCGTAGCTGCTCCACTGGCAGAAACAGATTAGAGAAGAATAAACGTCTACTGTGAAAACAGGCTTAAGGTCAGGAGAGATCTTTGTGATCTTTCAATCTGACTGCTCCCTAATACAAGCCAGAGGACTTCCCCACATTAGCACCTCTTCTGGTCAAGTACTGGTGACCAAACTGCTGTCAAATACCTAGTCCAGATTTGGAAGTTTCCAGTGACGGGACAACTCTCCACAGCCATCCATGATGTATATCAAGTGACATCTACCCACTTTGTTAAAACACCTACCCAACATCTGCCCTGTATTTGTATCTTTCAACTTTTTATCTTACTGCATCCTCCTCTGCTGGATCAGAGGGATCTTCACCACGTTTTTGTTTCTGATGCAGATAGACTGACATCAGATTTTACCTCCTTGTGCCTTAAACAGAATAATCTGGGGTCCTTCACTTCCTTATCCCAAGGGCTCTGACCCAGCCACAGCAACAGCGCTTCGTAGGGGCTTGTCCCCCATTGCCCATTCCCTCCCCTCTTCTCAGCTCAGGAGCAAGAGAAGAAGAAACTGAGCTGCCACCCCTTGATAACCCTGCTGTTGAGGTGTTTCTTTCTAGTCCTGGTGGTAATTCACAGTGCCAGTAGCTGCTAGAGTGGGGGTGGGAACGTTAGACATAGCAAAATAACTCAGGGATCATGGGTGTCTTCTGGTCATTAATCAGCATCCCACCTAACCAGTGAGCACAAGAACTGGACACAAATTTCCAGTGCCTATCTGTGACAGATTCAAAAGTGACATCACCTTGCTCTTCCTTGCGTAGTCAAGGTTGACATAGTCCTTTAGGCTTTGGCATCACACTGAGAACTGACATTCGCTTATCATCTACTGTGAGTTTAACCAAGGTCACAGCTGGATAAACTTTAAGAAAAAAAAGCCCAACCACAAATCTTTGCCTGTAGCTTTGTGTTATTTTCAAATGTTACTGGCAAGTCATCCCCTTTTTAAGGCAGTAGGGACTGAGCGTGGAACTACAGCCAGGAACTTTGGGAATCTAATCCCAAATCAACTTCTGTGTCTCCAGACTTTTAGTAGATCATCCCAGCAGTGATGCTTTTGGCATCTCTGTGGCTCCAGGCCTGCTTTTTTTTCACCACCTCTGGGAGGGGAATCTCACTGTTGTCTCAGGGGCTCATTAGGCTCAAGGTGATTTAAGGATTTTATAGATGCAAAACATGAAGTTTTATTGCTGATTCTCAGAAGAACATGTTAGAGCCTATTGTACCTCCTGCATGAATTTACTACAAAGAGTGAGTTTATTCTATAGAATAAATTTATTCCATTTCCCCATAAAGGCATTTTTAAAAAACACTGAATGAAAGCTTATGTGAATTCCAATGGATGTGAAGAGATACTGGGATTCTGCCAATGTTAACACATTAAGAGCCAGAACTTGCTATCTTTGAAGTCAGTGGATGGTTTGCTTTGGAGTTAAAAGGGGGAAGTGGAAAGCAAAGCATTAGATTGCACTGTGAAGTTTCTTGCATATCCCATTCCTCTTTTATATTATGGTATGTCGAAAACTGCCTATCTGCACACTGCTTGTAAACAGATGTAAAGGCCACGTTCCTCAGGCAGATGAGGTACAAGAACTATATTGAGGAATTGCTTTTCATTAGCTCATTTATGGTTTTTTTTAAGAGGGGTGGTGGTGATAAGATGCTTTTTCCAGAAACCCAAAGGTCTCCAGGAAAAACTCCCTTCTTGTTTTTGCTCCATTCTCTGTTGAGGTTGGACTTTGGAATGGGAGGAAAATGCATAGGTAGTGACCTTGAACAACCCCCCCACCAAACTACACTTATTTGGTACACCAGATTAGGGCATTTGTCATCACTGCCTGTCTTTGCTCTTGCTTCCCTTGATCAACACTGGAATATTTAAACTGAGTTGCTTCTAGGTAGTTCTGAAGTGCAACACTTGGAGGGTATTTGCAGTAAATTTAGTATTTTATAGAGCTGTTTTCCAGTATGTCTGCAAATTTAGGCATACATTTTTGCACGGCAAGTGTAAACTGAGATGGCAATCTGAACAGTCTGTTCCCAGCCATGCTGCAGAGCTAGCTGAGATATTCCCTGCCCAGTGATTTAGAAATAGTCTGACTTCTGGGATATGCCAAATCTTGGGCTCTTTGAATTCCATTTTATGTGGCTTCTGATCACCAGGGAAGATTTATTTTTTATAATGCAAAAAATAATCTGAATTGTTGAGTTCTTCAAAGCCACATAGAGCCAACTGGCCACATTCTTAGGTGTTAAATGGCACAATTAAAAGTGGGGTGTGCGGGGGGGGGGGTGTGAGAGTGTGAGTGTATGAGGCATAAATAGTTGATCTAAAGTTCTGCAAAAAATTTCAAAACAAACCAGCAAAATCTTATATCTGTGGGAAGACCAGGACCATACTGCCAAATCTAAAAATGCTCAACTTTTTCCTAGCATCTGTTCAAGTAAAACAATTTCCCCAGCATTGTGTGGGCTATAAATTATGTGTTATAATATAATAACACATAACACATGTTATAATAACCGTGTTTCTTAGTTCCATGTTAAAGAGTTGATTCAGATACTTGGTAGATGCTTAATTATTGGTCATATGCATTCTTTTAAATATAAATGTTCATGTAAATGTTCAACAGAACTTGTTAACAGAGTTGTTAAAACATTATTCAGTGTATTCAGATTTGTACCTAAATACTTCATGAATACTTGGCAGTCAGTTTCTTAACTGTTATGAAATCTGAGAACCATTAATCCTGCATGTTCCATGTTCATGAAACAGGATTTGTCTGCCTCAATGCATGTTTAATTATATGTTTTTTTTACTTAGGCAGCTTACCCATAGATAACAGTGTCACTTGATATTGCTGTTAATTTTGCTTGAATGAGGAGTAAAAAACTGAGCCCTTATATTTGTTAAAAGATTTGTGAAGATTTGGGTTGTTTTCCCTTCCCAGTCAGAAGACTTTGCTGTGGTTTCCAATTCCCTCCCCTGTGAAGTCATCTTAATAGTAATTTTGCTTTAAATCCACTGTATATACTGTATTTTTAAGGTTTGACAGCATGACATAATGCTAAATTGGTAAGGTTTGAAACATCATTCATTTTCACATAACTTGATTACTGTTTGTAATATCCTTGCAATGGGCAGTAAATAAGGAGACACTCAAAATGAGAAAGGTTGGCATCAATATAGCTGTTGTAATGCAGGATGAGTGCAATGTTCCTGCTGCTGTTGTCTCTAATCTAGGCCAGTCCCCTAAATCAGTCAACTTATTTTTCGTCTATGGTTTCATTTCTTCATTCTAATGCATGTGGGCCAAAACTATTGTCTTCCATCTGCTTCCAGCATTACAGAGGAATGTTAAATTCACCCAGGAAGCTGTGCTTGTTTAATCTCTTCTTATTAATGTTAATACTCTTTCCTTTTCCAGTAGCTTTACTTTGTTATATTTAAAATTGGAACCTGAGAATCAGGATTAGGTGATATTACAAAACATGTATCCATGTAATAAAATTGATGTTCAGGACAGTAATAAGGATCTTCAGATGACATTTAAACCAGTTGGAAGTAACCCTTTATAGGAAGATTCTGGCAATTTTTTCTGCTTGGTAAGAAAAAGACACTTTTTCAGCCTTCTCTCTCATTTTAGGCTGGGAATGGAGTGCATAGTTTGGATGTCAGCAGTGAGACATCTTACCAAAAAAAAGCATCCATGGGACCGTTGTCTAATCAATGACTTCTAAGTGCAGGAGCTGTTAGTTTGGAGACAAGTGCTACAAGATGCCAAGTGAGATGCTTGAGAGCAGCAGTGGGATGGAGGAGACCATGCAGAAAGAGAGCAAGTCTGGAAGCCAGAGCCCTCGCCATGGCACCATGAGAAGGGCTGTGGCAACCACTGTCACCTTTGATGGGGAAGCCACTATGGACCGGAGGAAAAAAAAGAAGAAAGAGTCTCGTCCCGAGTCAATAATAGTGTATCGATCGGAGAATGAGAATAAGGTAGAAGAAGAACAGGTGGATGAAGAAGGAGGGGAGAGGACCTCTGAGGAAGGCTCCAAGTTCCTGGGTCAGTCCATGGCAGATGGTATGTATTCCTGGGAACACCCACTTTCCATAAACTTTTTTTGATGCCAGCATGCACTAAGGTCAAATGGAAGTGCCGGTGGGACCAACCTTCTCCAAGACTGCAGGCAAGGAGAGTTTGAGTTCATACATGAAAACGCTCTGAAATAAAAAGCATTACAGGCTGATTTGGGCTGTCTTCTGCTGTTCTTTGCAGAGGTTGGTTGTTGCCGCTCTCTTAGTTTTAAATGTATGTGCTGGTTGGGGTTGATCCAGAAAAATGCTTTAAACTAATGATGCTGTGATCAAGCCCCTGTCCATGCCTAAAACAACTGCCCATTAAGTGAAAGGATGGAAGCAGATGGATTTAGTGGCTCTACCTGTGATAGGGAGTTTTACTCATTGTCTAGGATTTGCTGTTGCCTTCTGTTTGCATATTCTCAGCACAGCTTCCTCTTTAAGAGTGATTATTTGCCAAAGTCATTGTGGGGCATCTTGGAGTCACTTTCACTTCTGATGTCTGTCCTGAATACCCTTGCAGTGAAGCAGTATGGAAGGCAGGTTCTATGGCTAATCCTCTTGTGAGTCAGCAGTGCAGGCTGAGAGGGGCTTAAATGTGAATGCAAGCTCCTGGTCCATCAGCTGCACCAGATTCCCCCATGATCCCAACCCCTGTCCTCATGGCTTATCTGCTGCCTTCGTATTTTTGTGGGCCACTTCAAAATGCTCAGCCTCCTTTTAAGAGCCTCTGAAGACGTCCTTCCAAGCTAGTCAGAATTAAGACCAGGAGAAAGCATATTTTAGCCCCATAGAAGAGTTTATGGCCAGTACCCCTGCAGGGACCATCCTAAACCAATGTCACTTGGAAACTAAGGCAGTCTGTGACTTCAACACACATCCCAACACTTTCCTGTTTGGTGCCTTTGTTGATCCCTTATATAATATATAATTATCGATATATCATTATATAATATATAATTATATGAGAGTTTGTAAGTTTTTTCTGAACTTTGAAAATTAATTTGGATTGAGATACAGTGCAAATGTAAAGTGAAATATTAGCCATTCAAGTATAACTCCACGTTTGGATGTGCTTATTCCAGAACAAGGGTCTTAGTCCTATTTATGTAATTCACCCCAAGTGTCCACACTGTTCAGGAATAAATCTATGAGGGTACCAGAGAAAATAGGCATACCATTTTGATTCAGTTACTCTGTCTCATCTCTTTCTCATATACGCCTGCAGCACTTTCCCTTCACATATTGTCCCCAGTGCAGATGCTGGAGTCTTCTCCCTTGTGATTTCTGTCATCTGGAATTCCTGTCTTCTTCCTCATTAGCTCCTCTTCCATTTTCTTCTGTGATAATCTTCTTTATACTGCCTTACTTCTTGTGTTCCGTCGTTTTTTCATTTAACTATAACTCCATATGCACTATTTAATTGTCTTTGGGGTCTGTGGAGATTTACACAAAGTAATCCATACAGAAAATAAATCTAATGTAGATGAGTTTATCTGTGTTTGTAGGTGTCTGGAACATACCTTTAGACAGCCGCTATGTCACATTGACTGGAACAATCACCAGGGGAAAGAAGAAGGGTCAGATGGTGGACATCCATGTCACATTAACGGACAAAGAGCTGCAGGAACTGGCTAAGTCAAAGGAACCTCCTAAAGAGGATGTACCTGAGAAGAAGAAGAAATGTGATGTTGGGCTGGACAGAGGACCCCACATCGTCCTCTGGACCATCATCTGCCTCCCCATCATTTTTGTACTGTCCTTTGTGGTTTCATTCTACTATGGAACCATTACATGGTACAACATCTTCTTGGTGTACAATGAAGAGAGGACCTTCTGGCACAAAATCACCTTTTGTCCCTTTCTGATCATCTTCTACCCAATTATAATTATGGTTGTGTCTTTTTCCCTAGGCCTGTACTCGGCTGTGGCCCAGGTAGCATGGTCCTTTGGGTACTGGTGGCATGCTGTCAGGGATATGGAGAAGGGCTTCTGTGGCTGGCTCTGCAGCAAGCTGGGTTTGGAAGATTGTTCTCCATACAGCATTGTCGAGCTGCTAGATTCTGACAACATCTCAGGTAGTCTCTCTGGCAAGAGCTCTGCGCAGGGGGTTGAGACCTCAGCAGTCTGAGCCTTTGTCCTGGCTGACTATTTTGGTCATATGTGAGTGGTTTTTCACCTAGAAAAAAACACACTGATTTTTTTAATATATCTATATATATATATATTTAAACACAAAGTTAATGAATAAAATATTGGGCTGGGAGTGCTCTTTAAATGTCACAGAATGCAAGTGTGCTAGCTTCACGTGGTCTGGGTGGGGAGGTGCATGGCTCTCCAAGGATTTATCATGTTTTAGCTAATTACAACTTCTGGGAATAGTGAGAAAATCCAGGTCTGTGGGGCTCAGGCTGTTTGTGAAGTGGCAGAGATACATGCTGAAAAGTCCACTTCTGTAAAGTTAGACTTTATTTTTCAGGAATAGGACATAACAGTGACCTGTTGACCTAGTGAAAAGAAGTCTCTACTCAGGGAATGAACTTCAGGAGATAGGAACCCATTCAGAGGTGAAGGCTAAACTGCAAAATGTGTGATGTTCCTGCAGTTTTCCTAGAAAGGGTGCTCTTCCAGTCTTTCCAACAAGTGCAGCAAACTTTCCAGGTAGGCTAACTGCTTAGACACTGTCAGAGTCTGAGAAACAGACCACTGGAACAGTTGTGCCCAGCCTTTCACTGGCAGAGGACAGCATAGCCTCCAACAAAGGCACGTGAGCTCTGCACTGACCTGAAACACAGCCTTCACATGGTGGAAGAGTAGGGCTTTCTCTGTAATGCAGTGCATGGGGACCTGACGGGCCTGTCACCAACCACCCTCCAGTGACTGTAGGTGCACAGATAGGTGCTTAGGACACACCTGCATTTGATCTCTTGATAGGTGCACTGCTAGGAAGGAATGGGTAATGGGAGTCATGCATGGTGTGCAGTGCAAACAGTTGCATTATAGGGAAGAAACATCTGCTCTGAGGAAGGGTGATCAGTTTGCATGTCACTGCAATGCAGGTGTGGACCGACGGCACCTGTATTTTGGGAGGTGGAGTTGAAGGTGCTTGGGATGGGAAGGTCTCACTGAAACAGTCATTCTGTTTTTCAAGTCGCTCTTACGGAAGAGCTGCTGGACCTTCCCTTCCAGAACAGGGGCATCCCTGAGCCCGTGTCTGTTAGTGCTAGTGCAAACTGCATTAGTGCCTCAGCTCTGGAAGTCTGTGTCCCCCCTACACTTCCTGGTTAATTATATGGAAGCACAACAGATTATACATCTTCCTGCCCTCATGTCTCATTTTCATAATTGGTTTCCCTCCTTTTGGGACTTTGCATGGCATCTTAGTGGGCTCCCAGACCAGGCTGAGGTGGCCACCATAGACTGGAGAAATTTTAATTGTTTCTTTAAAAATTGACTAGGAGAAAAGTTCTTTTTCTGGATTGACTCTTAGGGTTTTGTCCTGAGGAGGACATGAAGAAAATACGAGAGCTATAACGGACTCTAATGGGGACTGAGTTACATGTCTGAAACATGATTGATTTTCTGAGTGCTCTAGTTCAGCTAGTGCTGCTAGAAAGTCTGGCTCAGCCCCAGCCCAGAGGAGCCCACCATTTGCATGCATGTAGGTAGGTAATTTGTAGTGTGCAGTCAGTCAGGCTGCACAGTCACTCATGTCTGTATAGGTGTTTCACTTTCGCAGTCTCCCTATCAGAGGGGGAACTGCTTTAGTTTTAGGATGGTAGGAGAAGCATTCAGAAGCTGGATTTCACAGGAACTAATGCTTCATGTTGCATTTCAAGGATAAGCTCAAGACTACACTGGCTGTCTGTCCCGGTTAGGACAGCTGGGAACTGGTGATGTATAAACAAGCCCATCCGATCCTCCAGGCCTAACATGGAGAAATAAGTGAAGTCACTGCTGCATCCTTGTTCTGTGTCCTTCTGCGAGGTCCAGCCAAAGCAGCCTCTTAGCACTGGCTTGGGGATTAACTGTGTGAATAGTATACAAGCCAAATATCAAGAGCAGGCTTGGCCCCACAATTTACTGACAAAGCAGAGATGCTCCCTGGGCACAGGTACAGCCAAGGCTGCATTTGCTGCTTCCTGATGCACAGCTCAGTTTTTACTGGCTAAGTCCTTAAAGGCAATGACCAACTTCCAGGAAAAAAAAAAAAATAGAACCCAACCTGTGAGGCAATGACAGGTAATTCAGTGGGGTTCAAAGAGGCTGACATATGCCTGGGACCAGTTCAAGCAGTGAAATGCCTTTCACAGGGCTGTTTCAATCAGGGAGCTTGATATGCCTCTGAATTAATACAGAAGCTGAGGATAAGTCATGTCAGTACTGGCAGTCTGTAAGTGACCCAGCGTAGCCACTCTTCTTAATACTCCTCCACATGGAAATCGCAGGCTTCCACATGGCTGGAGGGTGGGAAGAAGTGATGCTTAACAAGCATTAATGGGAAGGAAGGCCCACTGGCAAGTGTTCTCACGCTTTGCCTAGAGGGACACTGCTGGCGTGAAAGGACTGGATTGTGTATCTTGGCCCCAACATGCAGCAAACAAGTGGGTTTGGGGGAAGGATGGCTGGCAAGTGTGCATTGCTGCAGAAGGAGAAAACCCAATTCAGCTGTCACTGCCAAAGAGCAGCTGTTCAAGGCTACACGACAGGCTGGGGTCAGTAGCACAAAGAGCCTTCAGCTTACAGAGGGCTTGAATGATAAATACTAGCTCATTACAGAATACAGCCATGTGAAATCTCTGCTGAGCTGCAGGATTTGCTTTCAGATTGTGAACAGCCTGCCAGAGTGGAGACAAAACCAAATCTGTGCCTCTTACTGCTATGTAGACACAAAGGAGCATCAGAGAAGTTGTAATACCCTCCCTCTGCCACGGCAGCTATGCTTCTGGGTTTAGAGGCCACCTCTTTGGGGATATACTGGAACAATCCATCATCTGTTTTCTACTTCTTTACACTTAACCAAGCTTGCCTCTGCTCCTGCCAAAGTCAGGGTGTTCTGCCATTGATTTTGGTGGGGGCTAGTTTAAGCTTGGGGTTAGTTCTGGTGCTATTTGTAAAAGTTTTAATCAAACTTTTCTCAAAACAACTCTGGGTAGCTTTCTCTCTTGCCTGTTATCCCCCAAGAGCGGTTTGCCTGCTGCAAAATATATAATCATTATCAATTGCTGTAATAGAAAAAAAGCACAAGTTTTTGTCTTGTTCTATCCTTGCTTTCAGAAACTCACAAGTAATTTCTGCATATGTGCCACTGCCAAACTGCAGGGAATTCCAGTTATTCTGATTGTTGAGTGTGTTTCTGGCTGTTCTAGTCTGGATGTTTTTTTTAAGTAAAGATAGTGTGTGTTTGCTGATTGTTATTTTTAATTGCATTCCCTTTTCCCATCCTTGCTGGCCTGGGTGGAGAATAAAGATGTACATGGCTTTAGAAGAGTGTTGCTCTCATGATTCTACTTGACTTCATGTTAAAAACAGTGCTGTGGGATGGACACAATCATTCTATGCTGATAATTGATTACAAGTCATTATCTTTGAAGACCCACTTTAAAATGTGTCTGAAATGGGTCTCAGTTTTATCTCTTGTTAACCTGTGCCTATCCAGAACTGTCAGATCTCTGGGCCCTGGGTTATTCTTTGGTTTTACTTCCTAGTGCACAAATGAAAACTTTTGATTTAATTTCACTCGTTGGGTATCTGTTTGGCTTTAGCCCCAAGGATCTGTAAGGAGGGACAGGCTTCCATACCAAAATAGGAAGTACCTTTAACTCTACAGATACGGTCTGTGTGTCTGTGACTTGGAGCTGCTGTTTACAGCTGTGCTGGGAAGATTTCTTACATCCCCTAAGTACTCCAGACATGTCTCTGATAACTCAAAGGAGAATCCACCAATACAGTTCTTTGAGGTGTCTAAATATTAAATGATACCCTTGGTGCTCTCCTACACAGTCTTAGTACAGTGCTACTCTCCTGCTAGCACAGGGCAAACACTTATTTGACATTTTCTTCTAAGAAGGAGACATGGATCTTTAGAAAACCCAAATGAAATTTGTAGCAGAGGTCTAGCACAGCTTCAGTGTAACAGCTCTTTGACCCAAAAGGCTACCTGCAGGTGATTTCCTCAAACTGGCAGTGCCATGTCCAACACAACAGCTGGAAATACCAGGAAGGTGCTTTTGGTGTGATTCCTGCTGCAAACATTGCCAAGGGAACAGGATTCCCTGCGCAACAGATGTACGTTGGGGACTTCCCACCTCCAGTGAAGAACCTTGTGCAGGACACACAGCTTCCTGGTGTGGCAGGGTGGGATGGAGGTAGTGGGTCCAGAGAATTAGCTCATTAGCCTTTGCAGTTCTCACCTTTGAGGTACAAGGTAATCATTTTATAAGATAATGGTTAGCAGTGGGAGAGACTCCTACTGAAGACCTTTGCACCAGGCAAAACACACCTGTACTGCTGCACCATGTATTTCACCAGGGGAAGAGAAGGTACTAATTCTGTCTGCTGACTTACCCATCCCATTCAGTTTCTTTGAGAACTGAAACAATCACAGCATGAACTGTGCTTTTAACCAAAATTAGTCTCTTGAATTCACCCTTCTAATCCTTCAGGCCAGTGCTTTGTATCCTGAGGCTGGGATCCTGCAATTCCTCACTCTGAGACTATTAGCAGGGACTGCTCCATGGATCCATGTGGCCACCCCCATGCATACTTTTTCAAAGCTGCAACCACTAGTTAGGAAAAGTCATTCCATCTGCTCTTGCACACTGAAGCATGCAATTACACTAGCATTTAAGGAGAAAATAATTATGCACAGCCCGCATTCCTGCACTGTGATGGACACAATTTTGCTCAAAACTTATGCAAGTCCTTTTTGTCCCAGGCAGTGAATTACTGTGAGACTAGTGCCCTTCCTGCTTCTTTCCAAAGACTTGTCAATGTGGAGGCAGTTAGATTAACGTGGATTCATTTCTGAGTAGATTAGTCCATCCAAATTCATTCCCTGTATGGAAATGAGAACTCAGAAAAAAGAGGGAGGTTGAAGCAAATTCATGGGGCTAATCCACTTAGAAATGCAACTTTTCAATTAATTTGGTGAATTAGAAGGGACATCATGTTTGCTTATCTTAACTACTAAAGCATGATTTCTCTTCCAACAGGGAGGCACTTAATGATGAGGGAGGGCTTGTGGTTGTGTGTTTGATCAGGGTGAATTGCCAGGGGGTTCAAAAAGCTCCCTAAGCATCCTTTCACATAAACAGGTGAAGTGTGTCTGCATGTGACCAAGCAGCCCAGAGAAACAAGGCTTGAGGGGCTCTTATGGAGCCCTCTTGGTCACCTAGTTCCAATAACATTCAGTCTTCTTAATTTCTCATCATTACATGGTAGCTGAAGTCTGTCAGAATGCA